CTTGATTTTGGCAGAATTTTCCTAAGAGTGCTTTTCATTTAAGTAGTTCTCACCAAAGCTGGGTAAGGGGAGAGATATAACTACTTATTTATATATACTCTTTTGATAAAAACTTCTATTTAAAGAAAATTAACTTTATATTAAACTTGCTCTCCAGTAAATCTGGCCAGTAGAAATCTGAAACCCTCACAACAGATTAATTTGATAGTGAGAAAAGAATCAATGAGATGTTGACAAAGAAGAAAAAGTTATTAACTAAAAATCTTGAAAATTATGAAGCAAAAATCAAGGTCCTCCCCCAAAATAAATTGCATTAAGTATCTGAAATAATTTGCCACTATTCTTGTCATGATCTACCAAGAAAAAACTAATCATTATGCTTGAGATAAACTGAAAACAAGGTCATGAATTTTTATTTGAATTACTAGTCAAAGATGAAGTATAATCATAATTCTCTAACAGAAGTGCCCTCTTGTTTGCTACTACCAAAGAAAAAAATAAAATGGTATATTCCCAATGAGAGAAAAATGCATGATTGCTTGAAATGTGATTGTGATTATTTTTCAAATAATTTTTATCAGCACATCAGAAAATTAAAGGATTGTATAATTATCTTATTTAACAAAATACACTAAAGCTGGTATTCGTAAGGTCAGTGAGAGGTTAATCATTTTCAACTCAATAGGATAGTCATACATATTTGTGGAATACTAGGAAGAAAGCAATTATTACTAAAATAATCATAGTTTTTCTCAACTAAAAAGATGCTTATGTGTTCTGGATACTTTTCTTTAACAAATAATATACTCTTCTAATAAAGCGTACTTTTAAATTTCTACTTAAAGATTACTTCAACTGGTCAACATGAAAAACTTAAAATGTCAGTTTATGCTGGTAACAGGGTCTTAATCTTCCCCTCCTTACTTATTTTTAACAACGTCTCTGCTTTTCTAGTTCCCAATTTCTCAATATAGAAGTATTCAGTCCAAAGAAAGAAAACATTCTTCCTAAACTTCCTACATAAGCCATTATTACTAAATATTCATCCCAATTATTTCTTAAGTATTCAAGTGCCTTCTAATAGGACAGTTTTGTTTCTTTAATCAAAGCAGTAAACACATTTCCTTGTCCTAAAATTATTATAGCTATTATGAAAACCTGATTGCTAGAACCTTAAGTCAAAGCACTGCTGATGATTCACCTTTAATCTAAACATACCTCCTTTTCTACAATCTCTCTAATTTAATACAGGAGAGCCTATGAATACCATAAAATATGGGTTCACTAATATAGTCAACTGGCCTACTGTGACCTTATATTAAAGTTAAAAGACTTTTTATGCAAATATTTTATAACACTATTTTTTTTAAATGGCATTTTAGTGTTTCCCTTCACTCTTTTCTAAAAATCACCATACTAACTGGGGGACCTGCAGATGAGGTAAACAAACAAAAGGGCTGACTAAACCTATAAACCATATTTTGTCCTTAAGGTCCTATGATTCTTCTTGGGACCACACTTAGCCTCACCCCTCATTACTGTCAGATTCACAAGATTCCCAAAGGACCCCAAGAGGCCCAAGCTTCTCACTACAACTCTACCCCACCATGCCTTTCTCCCCTAGACAATGTTCCTATACGCCACACCTTTCCTAATCATAGTCAGTGCATAAAAGCTTTCCTCTACATTCCACTGCCTCTGAACCCTCACCTGGTATCAGCAAGTTTATCTGATAAATTAATCTGTGCTAATATTGTCAATAAAAGACACTAGTTTAAAGTTTCTCTTCCAGAGAATTTGTGATTTTAAACAGAACATTTTAGAAAGAATTTCATAACACACAGGAGAGATAGTTTGGCATTGGCAATTTTCAAATTATACCACACAGTCAACCACCTAGTCAACCTATTTGTAATGTAGATCCAAGTACAATTTAATACACTTTAAATTAAAAATTAATTTAGTCTTACAACCAGTAGTGAATATATGTCTGGCTTAGATATATGCCTCATGGCAAATGTCAAGTTAGTGGAAACTAAAATTGCAATTGTATGGTTTTATCATAAGTCATGGCCATATCTGTTACATCTTCTCATCTTCAAAGTAGAGCAATAGCCAATCCAGTTAAATTAGTGAGTTAACTTTTTAACCTACCCAGAAGAATTACTTAGAGCATACCATTTATGAAGTCCTCTCAGCACTTTTGATACAGTAGTCCCCCCTCATCTGTGGGAAATCTGTTCCAAGACCCCAGTGGATCCCTGAAACCATGGGTAGTACTGAATCCCATATATACTGTTTTTTCTTATACATACATACCTATTATAAAGTTTAACTTATAAATTAGGCACAGGAAGAGATTAACAACAATGACTAATAATAAAATACAACAATTATAACAATATATTGTAATAAAAGTTATGTGAATGTGGTTTCCCTCTACGTATCTTATTGTACTGTACTCACCCTTCTTCATGTGATGATGTGAGATGATACAATGCCTACTTGATGAGATGAAGTGAGGTGAATGAAGTAGGCATTGCAACCACAGTCTTATTTTCAGACTGAGGTTGACTGCATGTAACTGAAACCGTGGAAAGCCAAACATCGGATAAGGGGGGGGACTACTGTATTTATGGATTAAAGTGTTTTTTCTACTTTATGCTTTCACAACAACTTGGTAAATCACAAACATAATTGGATATTGTTTATTTCAAATTCTGACAAACCACTTTATTCTTTATCACATTAATCCAAAGCATAGTCTCCCATGACTGACATAATTTAATACCCTTTTATTCAATCTGCAATTAATTCTGTAGTTATGAGTCTATAGTCTAGTACAACCTTTCTGAACAGGTCCAAACTTCTTTTTAACCAGAACTGGATAGATTATATTATACATAATCTTGTGAAAAAACCTCTTGACCAGAAATCTCAAACATGGGATCAACTAAATGAATTTGGGAAAGATAAAACTTCCCAAATTCTTAATTTCTTAACAGTGGAAAAAGAATAACATTACTAGCGCAAATGAAATGTCCAAGAGACACTATGTAGAATGGAATATTATAAAACATACCAATCCTATTTGGTTTTTCTATGCAATCTTATTTGGAATTTCTATACAGCTACAAATCCACAAAGGTTAAGGACAATGCCACTTAGAGCTTTTACATCCTTTCAACCCCTACTGAGAAGAATTAAAAGAGTACAGGTACTGAATAAATGTAGAATTAAAACAATTCAGGAGAATTCTTGAAGACAAAGTCTACGTATAACGCTCACTCAGCTACCTGTAAATCAAATTTTATTAAAAACATCAATGCTTCACAAACTACCCCAAAAAGTCATTAATATACAGATAAAGCCTGCACTAGACCAATAATTTATTTTACATCCTTTTAAGTCACATATTTGACCCTATTTTTAAAACAAATTGACTCAAGTATCCAACATGCCCTCACCTCCACTTCGCACCCCATATTCTTTCGGTCCTAGAAGATAAGTACAAAGTTCAACTCAATCTTAAAAGACTGCTTCACGTAAGAGCTACATTTTGCCTTGACTTTTTTTATGACCTTGGGGGGAATCTACCTAATGACGACTATAATGATGTTTGTGTGTTCCTGTTTATTATTGAAATTCAATCCTAATATCATGCTAACAATAGTGAAGTCTTCTAAACTGGACCTCTAGACAGGTGAAAGCCTTTGAGTTACAAACACCAAATGATATGTAATACGAACCACATTTTTAAGACTTCATTTATTTAGTTAAAAAAAAACTACAAAGGCCCCAAGTTCAACAAGATCGCAAAACAAATTCTGAAAAACACCAACAGCCTCAGTATTACTTCTCTTTATGAACAACTGGTCTTCATTGTGGGAAAAAAAAAAAAGGAGGAATAAAACTAGCTTTAACTAGCCATTTCCTTGCTTTTATAAGGATAACAGCTAGACAACTAACGACAATTTAAAGCTTGGCAAAGAATGGGGAGATGGTATATAAAGAAATCTTCAATCTGAAAATTATGAAGATAAATCTATCATTTCAAGCCACTAATTTGTACACCCATGTTGGGCAGTAATCTTGCTATTGCTTTATTAGCATTAGAAAGATAAATCTCTGCCTTGGAGGAACATTTACTAAGTACACTTCATTTCAGGATCTTAGGGCAGTTTACGAGCGGTATCTCTTTAGGCTTCCCTAAGGTACTGTAAAGTGCTTAACATCATTCACACATCCAGCCACCACTAGGGTGAGAAGTAAATAAACACGATTTACTTATGCAATTATTTACCACAGAATTCTAGTCAAGAATGCCAAAGTAAACATTCATACAGGCATTTAACACCCAAAGAAAGCGGAGAATACTACGGACAATAAGATCCACCCTTAATTGACTACTATAGAAACCAGAGGCCTTCCACATGGACTGTTCTTTACTACCACTCTTGATTTGAAAAAGTAACAATGTCAACTCAACATTTTAACAGTACAGAAAATAAACAGATCTTAGTGAAATCTCTTCTTCCAGATCCTCAAAAGGTGTTTATAAAAACTGAGATAGAGCAACGCCCCCCTATAAAAGCACCCTCCTAGAAAGAATGAAATATCGAAAACATCAGGTGGAGCAAGGTTAGAAAAGCTGATCTAACCCAATTACCCGGAGAGACCACAGGTTTTGGGACCAGGAAGGTGAGATCGGGGTGGGGGTGGGTAGCAAAGTGAAATCTAACCCCAGAAATCACAACACAGGCCGCAGCCTGAGAGCCAAAGCTGGCGGGAAGTGAGCTCCCTTTCTGTTCCCAGGGGAAAGTCCAGAGAAGAGCAGCTCCACACAGCGGACGTACAAGGCGCCGATAGTGCATGCCTACCAAGGCGCCGGAGCCGCTGGAGAACCCGGTTGAGAAGGGGAGGAGATCCCGGCAGACGGCCCTGGAAGAGGAGGAGGACTAAAGCTGGGAGAAGCGGCAGCGTCTGGACAGGGGGATTACCTAACTGTGACGACAGAGAAGTGTCCTCAGGCTCCGGCGATGGTCCCGACTGCGCAATGTGTGGTGTCTCTCCCGCTTAGCCCGCAACAGCAACAGAACCAGCTCCTTCAGCCAGTCGCCATTTCCCGCCTACCGACCTGCTGCACCGCACGGACAGGGACCCGGATGGAAAGCGGCCTCTCCGCGCAGGCGCTTTGACTTCCTCCTCCCCCTCCCGCCACAATTCCGCGAGGTGGGAGGGAAGGAATGCGGGCGGCCACAGCGGCCAAAAAAAAAAAAAAAGCACAACTTTTACTTCCGTGAAGAGCGTTGGAGTTCCTGCCGCCGGAAGAAACTCGCGAGCCCAAATTCCTGACAAAAATTGAACGCAGGGCCTTAGGACTGGATGGTAACAAGCACAAAACCTATCACGATACGCCAGGGCCTGGGGGATATTTGTACTTTAGGGGCCTCCGTAGCTGACTGTGTAGTGGTCGCAGGGGGAGTAGGGAGTAAAGCGTTGGGACTGGAGAGGCGGGGATCCGAAGGACGGTTTTTCCTCCCGCTGCTAACGGAACTGCTTAGGCAGAGCTTGGAGGGGGAGCGAGCCCTCGCCCCGGAGGCGGGGCTTGGGAACGCGTCGCGCACCCTGGCGGCTAGGGTTTAGTAATCCGGGCGCGCCAGGTGGGTGGAGCCGAGTGGGACGGGGTGGGACTAACGGCTTGGCGCGCTGGAGGAGGTAGTGTGTGGAGATCGCTGCCCAAGGCCAGGATAAGATGTGTCTTTCGTCTTTCCTGGGATCCTAGTGTCCCCTGAAGGTCCTCTTTCCAGCTCATTGCCTAGAGGGCATAGCAAGTGCTCGGGGATCTGTCATAGAAACCCACGCCCTTCGACTCCAAGCGATGTCGGCGGTAGTTCTGCTGCGAAGTCAGATCAATCAGACAAATGGGTTCCTACCTACAGGCGTGGGTCAAAGGATGGTCAGCCTCACAGGATGAAAATGTATCAATCCGGAGCGTCCAGTCCTAGTGGAATATCAGAAAGCCAAGTCTAGTGGTTGGAAGAGCATTATCTGTTTACTAAAACTCCTGTCACTCTCATTATTCAATTAAGAAATATTTATTGGAAAACCACAATATGTTAGGACCATACTAGATGCGAGGGATACAACAGGGAACAAGGCAGACGTGGATCCTGCCTTCCCAGAGTTCACAGTCTTTTGAAGAAGACAGACAAACAGAATTGAAATACAATGTGATAAAATTACTGCAAGAAGGAGTTCTTGACAGGCAGTGTAAGAGCACATGAGGGGTGCTCCTCCAGTGAGGGGATCTGGGAAGGCTTTCATGAGATGACATCTAAGTGAGACATAAAGGAAGAGTTGATGTTACAAAGGAAGAGTGTCTAAGGAAAGGAAACAACAGATGGAAAAGTCCTAAGACGAGAGTGCATTGAGCAGTTGAAGTAGTTCTGTGCACCGGAGATAGAGGAGTTGGGGGGAAGATAGTGGAAAAAGGTAAGCAGAGAACCCTTGTGAATCTGGCTGTTTCTGTTTCAAAGTGTGGAGTAGGTGGGTTGTCTTCTGAAAGCCTAACATACTACAGATCCTGTCAGAGCTCAATGTTCATTTACACCCTAAATCTTCCTAGTACAAGAATGCTCTGAATGCGACATTTATTGAGAGCCCCTGGAATACAGCTTGCAGAACTAGTAATAGTCCACAAAAATAGATTCCTGAAAAACTAATTGGAAATCAACAAATAATTACTGATTATCCAGTGTGTATCACGGAAACCAATAGAATATAACCTAAACAATTACCCTAATTGATTACTAAAATAATTTTTAAATTGGATAAAAATTGGAAATGTTCTGAAGAAAAAAAGCTCCAGGTAGTATTTATTTCATACCTTCACTCTCCTAAAATTTAAGTAAAATATGCCATTTACAAAGTGCTTTTATATGCATTTTGATTCTTCCAACAACCCTGTGAGATAGGTAAAATAGGTGATATGAGTCCCCCCACTCTTCAGTTGAAGACACTGAAATTTAAAAAAAGGGGGGGAGGGAGAAAAAAAGGAGAAAGATGCCTTATCCAAAGACGGTTGCAATCAGCTAGTAAGAAATACTCAAGTCTTTCTCCTGCTCATTATACCACATCCTACTATCTCTTATGGCAATGTTATTATTGTTAGATGTTAAGTTTAGAAAGGTTGCTGGTAGTAAGCCTAAATGCTTTTGCAATTTATTTAACATTTTAACACCATTTTTCACAGAGGATAACTGTGTTATGTTCTTTTTTTCACCTTAGTCATTTATATCCAATGGTCTCTTTTCTGCGATATCTAAGTGGATTGTTGTGAAGATCAAATGAGATTATTTATGGAAAACATTTAGTAAGATGTTTTCCTTGCTCCTTTAATGGTAGTTGTTAATGTCACTAAGCTTCAGTAACAACCCTGTACAAGATTTTAGGATAAAATAAAGATTTAAAAATAATGAACATAAAAAAAAGTGTGAGGTATATTTAGATGCAAAGCAGTAGCCACAGGAAAAAATGTAATGCAAAAACTAGTGGCATGCATGCTTTTTAAACTATTCAAAACTATTGCTATATGAAAACATTAATGAAATAGGATGATCACTAAGTAATGTAATAGAAGTATCTTGGATCTTCAACAGAGTCTTTCAGTGGATCCCTTATTCCAGAGTATACGGAATATATTTACTTTTTACCTGATATATAAGGCATATGCACTTCACAATCCATTCTTACATTAATTCTATGAGTTATGTTTTTTATCACTCTTATTCCAACTAAGGAAGTAATATTCACAATAAATGTTGAAATATCACAGCTGTCATTTTTCTCCAGATTGCAATCACTTGATGGCAGTGACCATCTGAAACTTAACATCGTCAAAACTAAACTCTTAATTTTCTCTCAAACCTGCTTCTCTCTCTGTGTTCTCCACCTTACAGAATGCAGTTTTTCTTTCTCATATTTAACATCCAATCCATTATAAGTGCAATAAACTAAACCTTCAAAATATATCCTAAATCCAAACATTTCTCATCACCTCAGCTACCTCCCAAGTTCAAGAACCATCATCTCTTAACTGGAATACTATAACAACCTTTTAAAGTCTTCCTGTTTCATTCTTGAACCTCCTTCAGTCTTTCCAATACAGCAACCAGAGTGATCATTTTAAACCTCTTTATAAATTTTTCATCACCCTTAAAATAAAATCTAAAGTCTTTACTATGACATGCAAGGCTCTTCATTAGCTGACTCTTGGCTACCTCACTGACTACATTCCCCCCTATCTCTTGCTCTTTGTACTCCAGTCATTCTGGCCAACTGTTCTTTGAAGAAGTATTTCTGCATCAACAGCTTTGTATTTGTTGTTTGCTCTGTCACTAATTCTCCTCCCCGAGACCGGTGCTATATGATAGCCACTAGCCACATGTGGCTACTGAGCACTTGATATGTGGCTAGTATCACTAAGGAACTTTAATTTTATTTAATTTTAATTAAATTAAAATTTTAAATTAATACTCAAGTTGACTGCTTAACAAGACTTCCATTTGGGGTTATAAAAAAGTTCTGGAACTAGATAGTGATTATGGTTGCATAACATTGTGAATGTACTTAATGCTACTGTATTGTACACTTTAAATGTAAATACACAATGGTAAATTTTGTGTTTTGTATATTTTACTACAATAAAAAAAATTCCTCCTTGGTATTTACCCAAAGGAGTTGAAAACTTATGTCCATCCACACAAAAATTTGCACACAATTTTTATAGCAGGTTTATTCATAATTGCCAAAACTTGAAGCAACCAAGATGTCCTTCAGTAGGTGAATGGATAAACAAACTGTGGTACCTCTGTACAATGGAATATTATTCAGCTAAATAGAAATGAGCTATCAAGCCATGAAGACATGGGGGAAACTTAAATGCATATTGCTAAGTGAAAGAAGCCAATGTGAAAAGGCTATATACCATATGATTCTATTTATATGACATTCTGGAAAAGGCAAAACTATGGAGACAGTAAAAAGACCACTGGTTGCCAGAGGGTTAGGAGTAAGGAAAGCGGAATAAGTGGAACACAAGGGATTCTTAGAGCAGTGAAACTATTCTGCATGATACTATAACAGTGGATACATGTCATTATACATTTGTCTAAACCCATAGAATGTACAATATAAAGTGTGAATTCTAGTGTAAACTAAGTACTTTGGTTGATAATGATGTGTCACTGTTGGTTTATTGATTGTCACAATTCTATACTGGTGCAGGATGTTGGTGGTGGGGGAATCTGTGTGTGTGTATAGGAATAGGGTATGTGGGGACTCTCTGTACTTTCTACTCAATTTTGCTGTGAATCCAAAACTTCCCTAAAAAGTAAAGTCTATTGAAAAAATTAATACTTTATTCAGTTATTGGAAAACTTTTAAGTATGCTTGGAACATGAGTATGTGAATATACTTATTCAAATGTAAGTTTTGTAAGCTCTAAATACCAATCGAATATTTCCAGTGACAATTTAGTGTCCAAATTGAGGTGTGATGTAACTGTAAAATATACACTAGATTTCAGATTTAGTACAAAAGAATATAAAATATCTCATTAGTATTCTATATGGATTATGTGTTAAAATGGTAATATTTTGGATATATTAGTTAAATATCAAAATTTCACCTTTTAAATGTGGCTACTAGAAAATTAAAATTACATAGGTGGCTTGCATTATATTTCTGTTGGATAGTGTTGCACAGGATAGTCACATGGCTTGTTCTCACACCTCTTCAGAAAGGTCCTCCCTGATCATCCTATCTAAAATAGCACTCCTCCATCACTATTCCTTTAGCTCATTTACTTTTTCTCACAGCATTTATCACTATTAGTATAGAAAATAATTATGTATCTCTCCCTCTGGCATTTAAGTTCCATGAGGGCAAGGACTTTGTCACTGTTGTATCCCCAAGACTCAGAACAGTTCTCTGTGCATATTAGGTACTCAATAAGTAATTGAAGGAATGATCATTATTCTTTCATGATGGAATCTTTAGGCTTATGTGTGAGGGTATGGGGTGGACAGCATCTTGAGGATTCAAAAAATATTTGAAGAATGAAACCCAAATCCACATTTCTGGGTCTCTCAACATTTCAACCATCTATTTCCAAATACTTATATAACAACTACATTTGTATGTCTTTAATTTCATTCTACTGCCATCCATCTCCAATCTGCTATTAGTCCCATCCAATGATTTTCATTTCAGTTATTGTACTTTGCAGTTCTAGAATTCCCATTAGGTTTTTAAAAATAATTTTTATTTCTGTGCTGAGATTATCTATCTGTTCACTCATTTGAAACATATTTTCATTTAATCTTTGAACATATATTTTTTCTTTTTTTTGTGAGGAAGATCAGCCCTGAGCTAACATCCATGCCAATCCTCCTCTTTTCTGCTGAGGAAGACTGGCCCTGGGCTAACATCTGTGCCCATCTTCCTCCACTTTATATGGGACGCCGCCACAGCATGGCCCAACAAGTGGTGCGTCGGT